GCCAACCACCATTAACAAGAGACTGACACTCAGCTGGGGAGCCTAAGTATAAGACAGCAACTGGAGGCAACCAGGGCACTCTAGGGAACCATTTCCTCATGGAGTCTGCCAGTTGGCCAAGGATATAGGAATGGATCCTTTTTCCACTGACAGGGTTGTTGGCTTAGTTTATAGGACAGAACAATGAGGTATACAAATTTATTTCAACACATTGGTTGTAGTACTGGGGTTTGAAATCAAGGCCTCAAGCTCTTGCTCAGCCTTTAGCCTTTTCCTTCATGGCGGTGTGCTACCAGTTGCCCCAAGCTTTTGCTGGTTAACTGGAGATAGGAGTCTCAGATTTGTCTGCCTGGGATGGCTTTGAACCACCACCTCAGAGTTGTCTTCTTAGCAGTCAGGATTATGGGGTGAACCACCAGGGCCAATCCTTTAAACACTTCTTTAAGACATTAACTTCCAGGATTATCTTTAAACAAAAGAAACAATGGTTAAGATGGCAAACTGCTGCCCTACTGCCCGAGGACAGTAAATACCTATATTACTGCTGAGACCATTAAATGACTACAATGATATGTATTTACAGCAACGGTGTCTGCTAGAGAATAAAGTTTTATTTTTATTGGCTAGTTTTTGTTTCTTTTTGCGAATATATTTATATGGCCTCAGGGTGTCTCCAAGTCCACAAAAAGTCCAAGATCTCCTATCTCTGGTTCAGTGTTCAACAATATTATTAGTGATTTAGAAGAAAATATAGAACGTCTGCACATAAAAAGCACAGATAACTCAGTGCAAGGAGAGAAAAACCAATTTACATAAAAAAAACTCTATTTGGGTCCCAATTCATTAATTTTACTATCCCAAGTTGAAATAAAAACAAAAAACACAAACTTCTCTACAAGTAAAAATAGAATGTAGTCTGCTAATAAGCTTTCGTTTTTAAGTATTTGAAGGATTTGTTTTTTCTTGCTTAAATGAGACAACAGAGATGAATGGGGATGAATTAACAGAAGGTCTGAATTAATTGGAATATCATGTTTGCTAGAAATTTCAATCTCCAGGGAAGCCCCAGGCAAACAATACTAGTTGTAATGTATTCAAGTAGGAACTGCCAATTTTAATCACAATCCTGACACAAACAGTCACTAAAGATGAGAGTACTGGAAACGATGTCTGTGAGGAATTTGACAGCAGAAAATGTAGTCTGGTAAAAGAGGGTGCCATGAGGACAAAAGACAAGTTTTCAACTCAAAGATCCTATGGGGCACTAAGTTAGCCTCACCGAAGAGAACTTTCTGAATTGAGAGATAAGTAACAGTGAGTTACTTGGCCTTAAGGGCTTTGTCACTTAAATCAATCACAGAGAGCTAGTGTGTGTGTGTGTGTGTGTGTGTGTGTGTGTGTGTGTGTGTGTGTGTGTGTGTGTGTGTGTGTGTGTGTGTGTGTGTGTGTGTCTTTCTGAATTGAGAGATAAGTAACAGTGTGTGTGTGTGTGTGTGTATGTGTGTGTGTGTGTGTGTGTCTTTCTGAATTGAGAGATAAGTAACAGTGAGTTACTTGGCCTTAAGGGCTTTGTCACTTAAATCAATCACAGAGAGCTACCGTGTGTGTGTGTGTGTGTGTGTGTGTGTGTGTGTGTGTGTGTGTGTGTGTGTGTGTGTGTCTGTCTGTCTTTCTGAATTGAGAGATAAGTAACAGTGAGTTACTTGGCCTTAAGGGCTTTGTCACTTAAATCAATCACAGAGAGCTACCGTGTGTGTGTGTGTGTGTGTGTGTGTGTGTGTGTGTGTGTGTGTGTGTGTGTGTGTGTGTGTGTGTGTGTGTGTGTGTGTGTGTGTGTGTGTGTCTGTCTTTCTGAATTGAGAGATAAGTAACAGTGAGTTACTTGGCCTTAAGGGCTTTGTCACTTAAATCAATCACAGAGAGCTACCCTGTGTGTGTGTGTGTGTGTGTGTGTGTGTGTGTGTGTGTGTGTGTGTGTCTGTCTGTCTGTCTGTCTGTCTGTCTGTCTGTCTGTCTGTCTATCTGTCTGTCTGTCTCTTTGCCATGCTGGCTGGAAAGCCAAGGCCTTGTGCATGCTAGCAAAGCCCTCTATCACTGATTCATATCCCTTGCCCAAAGCAGTCACAGACACAGAAAGGTACTGTAAGTGTCTGACAGAGAAGCGGTGGAATAGAGTGAGCTGGAGTTTAGAGCTTATATTGCAAGTTCACACAGGGGAGGGTGCATGCACAGAATCTATCTAGGTACCTACTAAACAGTCAACTAATGTTCCATAGAGAATGGGAAAAAGGAAAGACGACAAAGAAAAAATTACTACTTTTGAGTCTTTTCTAGACCTAAGATTCATTCCATTACCAGTTTCTTTTCAAAACTCAAGCCATTTTGGTAGAATTTGGGTGAAAAGATAAAGGACATAACATAGTATATATCTCAATGTAGAGATAGTTCCTTTGTATTAAAAAAAAGTAAAACTGGGTACTAGTGGCTCATAATCCTAGCTACTCAGTAGGCTGAGATCCAGAGAACCACACTTTGAAGCCAGCCCAAGCAGAAAAGTCTTTAAGGAATAACTCCATCTCCAAAAAATAAACAAACAACAAAAAGCTGGGCTAGAGATATGGCTTGTGACATAGAGCACCAGCCAAGTAGCTAGGAGGCCAAGTTCAAAAACCCTGGTATAAAAATAAGCCTAAACAGGTCACCACTTCCTTCTGTTATACCCTTTTGTTCTGATTTCTCTTAAAAGCAATAGAAGGTCATTCTGAAAGTTCCTGCAAAACTTCCTGCCCCTTCCCCCAAAGGTTAAAGTACCAGTCATAACATTAGGAAAGGACTACTTGAAGAAAAGAACTTTTCATAGTAATAGGACTTCTCCACTCACCAAAACAAATAAATAAACAACTGCAAACAAAACCAAAACTAATTCCCACAAATCTGCAGTAAGAAAAAAGAACACACAACTGAAGCACACTAATCAGAAATTAATCTTTTCTGAACCCCACCCTGAAAAAGCCCCCCAGAGGTACCTTGGAGGAAGCATTCAGTTCAATGGATTCTGCCAAAGCTGACCAGAAGATAATCTTCACATTTTCCTTCTCAAAGTATGTGGCCCAGGCACTGCGCTGCTCCTCAGTCAACAAGTCTGCTTTGTTTATCAGAATTATGTTCTCCTTATTGGCATCAATCTCTTTCACGTAACATTCCTAGGCAGGACAGACATTTAGAAGGTTCTCTTCCAACAAGCAAAAAATTAGGGAAATAACACTGATATCTCTAACAAACGTTTTTATTGCTCTCAGTTTTAATTTTTTTTTTTTTGTTTTTTTCTTTTTTGGTACTGGGGATCGAACCCAGGATGTTGCACTTGCTAGGCAAGCGCTTTGCCACTGAGCTACATCCCAGCCCTAATTTTTTTTTAATTTAAAGATTAAAACTCTTGGTACATTCTACTAATTAATCCTTTCAGTAAGCTTTGACAAGAGCTTTCATCATTAAGATTTCTGTTACTCATCAATTTAAAAATTATGTTCATCCTTACATGTAGTGTTATCCCAGTGGTGTTTTATAAACTTAGATCTTTTGTAAAACATCCATAGGAGTAATATGTAAGATGGGGAAGAAATAATGAGATAGACTAAAAACAAAGTGACTAAATAATCTAAAACGAGCTAAATGCTATTTAGATTGGTGCCTCTTGAAAAATTATAAATCAGCAAATGTGTATTAATAAAGTGGCCTGTAAACGAAAGTGTAGGAAGCCCATGCAAGTATTTGTGCCTTTCTGCAGATGGAAACAACTGTTGGAGAAAACATCTGTGTAAACAGTGTTATTATGTAAGCCTCTGACCTTGGAGAGGAAGCAGGCCTAGTTAAACAAAGCAAGAGAAGACAGAATGCTTGTCTATAGTTACTGCAGTAAGGGGTGCTGTTCTCCCCTCTACTCTGAAGTCAGAAATCAAATGTTACTTACCAAATCCTCACATCTAAACAGGAGAGGGTTTCGAGCATCTACTATCTGGACCACAATATCACTGGGGGGAAAAAGTGAGAGAATCCAGTGACTCTAAAGTAAATGAGATCAGTTAGCATATACCAAAGGTGACAGTGGCAAATACTCAAACACTAAGCTAGCACTTGACTTTTTAATGTACAATTATTCTCAGTTAATATACAAGGAAATTGAGGCTTAGAGCAATTATATAAGCAGCCCAAAGTGTGGGAGTTATACAGGGACCCAGCTGGTCTAGACCAGAGGTCATGCTCTTAATTGTAACATATACAGTCTAGAAGTATCCTGATGTCATGTTACTAATAAAACTTCCTTTATAGCTTCTATTACCCCCTTTTTGTGTGGTGAAAGATTACAAATACCTCAATGCAAAGTAAGTCTACTAAGTGTTCATTATCCAGCCTTCATTCACTAAGGCCTCAAAAGAAAATTAACAAATCACTGGCTGACAGCTGTCACTACAGATGCCAGTATCTTATTCAAACTAGGACTGTCAATAAAGAGCAATGATGCCTAGCAAACAGTTTGGAGAATGTTTAAATGGCAAAAACACAAGGCAGCAAAGCATCAGCTTAAGATGCCACATTGAAGCACAAATGATGAGCCCAATTTCTTCCATCACACCCTAGAATAAGATCATGCTGCAACAATGGCACCCACCCCTAGAGTCCCTTACAAGGCCCACCTGTGATAGTCACTGGAAAGACAGAAACTGGTGTCTCACCACCCTGTAGCAGTCTCCTCAAATGCTAAGAATCCTGACTGGGCTAACCAATCTTTTCCTGAGGTAATTCTTTGCAGCTATACTCAACACCAAGGATCAAGGTTACCACTGAGGGTAGGGTTACCAATGTTCAAAGCACATTTTCTTCAACATGGTTAAAATTCTAGCATAATCTTATGATTCAGAGGAACTCAGAGTTGCTAATTTTTTTCAACACCCAAATCTCTTACGGGGGTGGGGGAATGGGCTTCTGGGGCATGCCTGGGGCCCTCTCTGCACTGCTTCATGAATCTATGTGTCATCCTTGAGCAGGGAGCCAGGCTAATCTTGTCTGTATCATTCCAATTTCAGTATACGTGCTGCTGAAGGAAGCACAAGTTGCTAATCTTTAAAAATATGTAATTTTATTGTTATTATTAAGGTGCTGAATAGAGAGGTTACCATTTTACAATACAGGTAATGAGTACATGTCTTTTTCGGACAATGCCACCCTTTCCTTTGCTCTCCCCCAGTGTATACTATGATCACATCTGCTCACCCTTCTTCCCTCCCTTTCGGCTGCACTCTCTGTGCCCTGTCCCCAAGAAGCAGAACAAGAAAAAAACCACAACCACCACCAAACCACCAACATATATAACCCATGTTCAGAGTTACTAATTTTTGGATGAATGGTTTTTAAGTTCTCTAAATTAAGCTGGTCCAATATTTCCTTTAGGGCAATATCTCACTTTCAAACAGAATTAAGCTGAATGACTACAAAAAAAAAATCAAGAGGGCTGGGAAGATGGCTCAGTGGTAGAGCACTTGCCTTGTATGCCTGAGGCCCTGGGTTCGATTCCTCAGCACCACATAAGCAAAAAGAAAAAAGCCGGAAGTGGCGTTGTGGCTCAAGTGGTAGAGCACTAGCCTTGAGCTGAAGAGCTGAGGGACAGTGCCCAGGCCCAGAGTTCAGGCCCCACGACCGGACCCAAAAAAAAAAAAAAAATCAAGAAAGCTGGATAGGCCAGAATCACAAGGTCCACAAACACTATGTCTATCAACCAAATATGCAGAAGGAAGTCAACAGCTTTAAAACACCAGTAAGAAAAGACATTTCAGGAGGGCACTGGTGACTCATGCCTGTAATCCTAGCTACTCAGCAAGTTGAGATCTGAGGATCATTTTTGAAGGCAGCCTGGACAGGAAAGTCCATGAGACTCTTCTCCAATTAGTCACAGAAAAAGCTGGAAGTGGTGCTGTGGCTCAAGTGGTAGAGCTCTAGCCTTAAACAAAAAGGAGCTCGAGGACAGCACCTAGGCCCAGAGTTTAAGCCTCAGGAATGGCAAAAAAGAAAAAATAAAAAAAAAAAAGAAAGGACATTTCAGACTAGTTTGTTTCACATGCTGGTTTAGGATACCAAGTGCCACTGCGTAACAGAAAACATTCTGGCAACTTAATATTAGTGCTTGATTTCATTGGATTACCCTGTTCTGCCACCAGGGCCTCAGCACTTTCCTGCATTTCAATGACATGTGACACATCGTATCTTTTCTGATAACTATACTGAAATTAAAGAGGCAGATGGCTTAGACAGCCTGTTAGCAAACAGGAGACATCTGGTATAGAGAAGTAACCAATAAATATTTCCTGTTAAAGATATGGAAGTAGTCAATTTATTAATATTTTCATGTAACTCTATCCCCACGTGATTAAAACTATATTCCTTGAATTAGAAACATATTCTGTTTAAAAACTGTTATTTAAAAAAGAGATGTGTAATAAAAATTACAGCACAAGTAATATTGCAATCTAATTGAAGCTAGAGGTTTCAACAAGTACAGACTGACTCTGGGGAAGTCAGTTCTAATTTAGAGGCATAAAAAATGTATAAAGGGGGGTCTTTAATTCTCATTTCCTGCATGGGGAGCAGGAAATATTTCTCTTTTTGTTTCTTCCTACATGAATCCTGTTATACCAAAATAAATCCTTGTTTATAACTTTTACCTTACTATCCTTTTTTGTGAGACATCTTGAAATGTTTTTCATAAGTGGATCTCATGAGATTTTGCATGGAAACTGGGAAGCAGAGGGAAGCCCTCTTCCATGCTAGAAATTGAGGAGTCTAAGTCAGGAGCTGCATCTTACAAGGTATGGAAGGTGTGTAGCTTTGGAATGTTTCCCTAATTCTCTGTTAGCCATGGTAGAACCTTTCTGTCTCCTTTCCCAGATTCAATATCAGAGGAAGGACAACCAACGCAGGGATGGATAAGGAGAAAGGAGGAAGGAAGAAGTTTACTCATTCCTCCTCCTTCATTCCCTATACTAATTAATGAGATTTAGTACTGTCACAAAAGCACCATAGAGCTCTGCTTTCTTTTCCTTGTATTTCCTTTCTCTCATTTTCTCTCCGTATCCTTTCTCCTCTCACTCCTTTTTTGATGGTACTGAGGTTTGAACTCAGCGCCAGGACAGTTGTCCCTTAGCTTTTTCACTCCACTTCAGCTTTTTGCTGGCTAACTGAAGAGTCCCATGGACTTTCCCTGCCTCGCTGGCTTTGCACCAAGATTCTCAGCCATCGGTTAGTTAGGATTATAGCTGTGAACAACCAGTGCTGGCAGGAATAAGATTTTAAACTCCTAATGAATCTAGCTGCTTCTGTTCTAAGAACTTAAGAAAAATAGGTTTTATCTGAAATGCAAATACAAATGTGACAGCATCTAATAGTTTTAAAAAGTAAGCCATATAGTGCTGGTAGCTCACGCCTGTAATCCTAGCTACTCAGGAGGCTGAGATCTGAGGACAGCGGTTCAAAGCCAGCCCGGGCAGAAAAGTCCATGAGACTCTTTTTTTTTTTTTTTTGTCGGTCGTGGGGCTTGAACTCTGGGCTTGGGTGCTGTCCCTGTGCTCTTCAGCTCAAGGCGAGTGCTCTACCGCTTGAGCCACAGCGCCACTTATGGTTTTCTAGTGGTTTATTGGAATAAGAGTCTCATGGACTTTGCTGCCCAGGCTGTCTTTGAACCGTGATCCTCAGATCTCAGCCTCCTAAGTAGCTAGGAATACAGGTGTGAGCCACCAGCACCCACTCCATGAGACTCTTATCTCCAATAAGCCACTCAGAAAACCAGAAGTGGTGCAGTGGCTCAAGTGTAGAGCACTAGCCTTGAGCTGAAGAGCTGAGGGATAACATTTATGCCCAGAGTTCAAGTCCTGTGACTGACAAAAAAAAAAAAAGTAAACCATAGTTGTAGATGTTCTAAGAAGCCAGAGATTCAAATCCTATAGAATCCAGACATTTCCAGCTAAATTTTGAATTGTTTCTTTGAGGCACTAATATCAAGAAGGGCTTTCTTTTCTTTTCTTTTTTGCCAGTCCTGGGGCTTGAACTCAGGGCCTGGGTGCTGTCCCTGAGCTTCTTTTACTCAAGTCTAGCACTCTACCACTTGAGCCACAACACCACTTCTGGCTTTTTCTGTGTACGTGGTATTGAGGAATTGAACCCAGGGCTTCATGCATGCTAGGCAAGCACTCTACCACTAAGCCACATTCCCAGTCCAGGGCTTTCTTTTTTTAGGGTCAGAAGTTAGTTCCCCTGGAGTTAAAAATTGGCCTAGACAATTTTACCTTTTGTAAAGGCCCAGAATCCTATAGGTGCCGGAGTAAGACTCCACACTTTAAAGTGAAGGACCTTCATTCCTTCAATGAGAGTCTTGTAGTTGCAATTGGCTTAGTATCTGACACACTATATCGAGCTAGAGAAATGAGTGTTTTATTAGTATTGTTCCTTGCAAAAATAAAACTGATTTTGATATTTTAAGATAATTACATATCACTAATTTAGATATCTCCAGCATGGTAAAGATTTTTTGCTAAGAGCTAAAGCCATCTAGGATGTTTCCTCTTTCCCTTTTTTTTTTTTTTTCAAAAAAGGGTGTTCCAACTTAAGATTCTCATCTTCAGGCCTTTTTTCTTGATTCTTCCTAGCCAAAGGCCAGGCTACATTACAATCTTCTTAAGGTTATTGGAATCAAAGCTGTCTTGGTACCTTAACATAGAGCTGATGTGGATTAATTCCTCCACCCTTTATCTGAGGGAAAGACACAAAGAATAACTTCAGGGAGAGGTGTGGAACCTCTATTACTAAGCTGGTTCTGGGAATCTGGATGGGATCCTGGCACAGAATGCCTATTTCCTCTGTGCATGTGCTTCTGTCTGGTTAGTTGGCCTGGAGATTTAGGGGCAAAACCCCCTATAGAGAAATTTTAGCTGCAAACTGACTATAAACTAATCAGACTCAATGCCCTGTCCCCAAGAGGGACAGGCCAGTCTGGGTCCTGGGGTAGCTGCAGACAGCTACCTATTTCTTCCCCTGGTCCTGAAGTGTTCACAATAGGCCCAAAGCAAGACTTAACAGTAAAAAGAGTTTAAACTCTTAAGAGTTTAACCTCTTAAAAAAACTTAAGAGGTTAGTGTTAGGTGGAACATATCCAGAAATATTGGGACAGAGTTAAGGTTGGAAGTGGAGCTGTGGCTCAAGTGGTAGAGTACTAGCCTTGAAAGAAAAAGTCAAGGGACACCATCCAGGCTTAGTTCAAGTCCCAGTACTGACACATGCCCACCAATTCCCCCAAAAACAAAAACAACAAAAACAGAACAAAACAAAAAAACCCAAACAACAACAACAACAAAATTACCCACAGAGATAAAAAATGTTTCTTACATGGATAGTTAAAAGGAGCTATAAAGGAACCATAAAACAGTAAGGAATTGAACAGTCTATAGATTAAATACACTGAATATACTTGCCATCCACAAAAATATCACACTAGGTTGGTAGCTCTAATAAAAGATGGCAACCTGTATCCATCTTTCTTCTATTTGAAATATAATGGTTAGGTCACAGCTACCCTTTATGGACAAGGTTTACTTTTTTTGTTGTTGTTGTTGGTCATGGGGCCTGAATTCTTCTTCCTTCAGCTCAAGGCTAGTGCGCTACGACTTGAGCCACAGCACCACTTCCAGCTTTTTCTGCTTATGTGGTGCTGAGGAATCGAGCCCAGGGCTTCATGCATGCAAGGCAAGCATTCTACCACTGAGCCACCTTCCCAGCCCCAAGGTGTTACTTTTAACACTCAGTGACTCCTGGAGGAGTCACTCATAGTGACTCATAGGACTAGGATTTTTGAGCCAGTACTGGGAATTGAACTCAGGGGCCTCATATTCTTGCTCAGCTTTTTTTTTTTTTTTTGTCGGTCGCGGGGCTTGAACTCTGGGCCTGGGTGCTGTCCCTCAGCTCTTCAGCTCAAGGCGAGCGCTCTACCACTTGAGCTACAGCGCCACTTCCGGTTTTCTGGTGGTTTATTGGAGATAGGAGTCTCACGGTCTCTCCTGCCCGGGCT